ATTCGTTTCACAGCCGCCCGGAGCCCCACCCTACCCCTAGAGAGCAAACCTCTGCCCCACCACCGATTAATTAATTAGTCACGGAATGACGAAGCGACGCCTCCCGGGCTGCCTCCTGCGCGCTGGGTCACGGTGCAGCCCCCGACGAGGTAGGTCAGCCGTAGATCAGCACTACGGGGCACCAGCAGGAACCCAAATTGTGTTTTGGGACAACTTGCCTGTTTTTTAATTATTTTTTTTTACTTTTTTTTTTTTAAGCAAAAAAGGCTCTACTTGCTAGCAGAGACTCAAGCATCACTTCCACCTTCCAGGTGTAGCTGCTGAATGGGAACAAAAGCATTAACTGCCAGATATGTAGAGATACCCAGGAAAGCATAGCACCATGCTGCATGCAGAGCTCCCAAACTGCTTTCCAGAGCTGGGTCCATCCCCTTTATTATTTTTTATCCCACATGGGGTACTGAGGCACAGAGAGGTTTAATAAAAAAATAAATAAATAAACCAACAATCTCGATCTGAGCCCTGCTCCCCACACCGCTGCTTCCCGCAGGGAAGGGGAGACACGAGCACCAAGAACGTGACTGTGCCTTGGCATAAATAAGCAGCCTGAAGTGTCGAGGGAAGAACACAGAGAGAAGGGATGATGAAATGGGCTTGGGAATGGAGACACACCGAGCCCCAACCCGCCTGCAGAAGTGTCTTCCCTTGGGACAGCCTTCTGGGCAGCACGAGCCCTGAGGATCGGAATGGGAGATGGTCCCAACGGCCACAACCCTTCGCAGCGGTGGCAGCTTTTGGTGGTGATTTCCCAGGCGGTAAATAATGAGACGAGATTCCACCCCTGCCCCACGCCAGGACCACAGGACATACTGTCCTGTCACCGGCCTGAGCCAGGGAAGTTTCCCAGAGGGACAGGGTGCCGGGCAGGATCCCCACCAAGGAGCACACACACATGCACTGCTCACAAAAGGCGAAAGCGTAGCAGCTTTGTGGAGTGCAGGATGGGCGCCGCTCCACTGAGCACGCTGGGGATGACACGTCCCCTCTCATGCTTGGAAAAGGGACACGGGCCAGAAGCAAATCGTTTGGAAATATCTGGTCCAGGAGAGACCGAGCAGGACTCCAGTGACAAGCTCAGCAGGGAATGTAGGGCAGAGCCTGCTCCCCAGCATGCCAGCTTTCACAAGGAGCCTTGCTTTGGACTAGCGGGTATCTTCTTCTGGATGCTCCTTGAAGTTTTAAATCAGCAAACACAGCCACATCTGCTCTAGCATCAGCAGCATGTCCTGCTTCCAAGGTTGCCAAGCCTTGGGCCAACATTAACTCTGTCATCCCCAGCAAACTCAGGAGAACAGCAGCCAAACAATCAGCTTGAGGGCAGTTGGGGAAGGCTGGCAAAGACTAACAGTCAATGAAAGAAAGCAAGAGCATTTCCAGCCCTTGGAAAACTCGTCTTCTTGAATCTGAATTCTTTGGTGTAGTAGCCAGTCTGCCTTGGCTGAGCAGCTAGCACTCCTTGGCATCTCCGCAGTGACAAGAACATACTTGCAGCTTTGTCACTGCAAATTTTGCTTAGTCCCCAGTGACGTAAGTGTGCGTGTTTTCATGGTGCTGCAGCTCTGCTGTCCCCTCTGCTCTGCCCTGGCCTCACAGGGAGGAGCCTACAGCCATAGCAGGAAGGCAGAGGAGTAATACGGAGGGATGAGGAAAGGAGGCCCAAGTGCCTGCTGAGCATTCTGAGCGTGAACAACAGGCACAGGAAGGCTCAGCAGCATTACTGTGACCATAGGAAGAGGAACTAGTCCCAGAGATGGAAGAGAAGGAAGCCCAGGGGTCTGGGTGGCAGCTGCGGTGACATCAGGGGCCGACAGTTCTACAGCATTAGTGAACATAAAGACTTCTTCTGCCAGCAAAAACTCAGGCAGGAGGCTCCCAACCAGCCTACAACTAGACCTATTTTGGCTCAAGTCTTGGGGTTTAGCAACCTAGACTAACCTCACCTCAAACAGAAATTCACCAGGTAGCTCCTACCTCCACCACCTTCCTCTTCTCCACACCCATGCACCTCCTCCACTCATCACCATGGCCCCCTCAGCAGCAAGAACAGTAACAAGGAGTCACAGCATACAGCAAATAATCTATTTTTACTGGCGGGACTGCTTAATCTGATCTAACTGTGGGCTGATGCATTCCCACCCTCTCCAGCTTCCCCTTGCCTTGCACCAGCACTGGTGTGTGTGCATCCAGGCAGCCCAAGGAGTCACTCCAGCTACAAATCAGTCTCTGCTGGTTGTCAAGTGAAATTAAGCAGGACAGGGCCACAGGGCAGAAGAGATGAGGGGCTGAGCTGGGTGAGCACACCCAGCAGGTCAGGAGGAGGCCACGCAATAGAAACCCCAAATCAGAGCAGTTTAAGCCTACCTGGAACTGCATCCTAACACTTGAGCAAGTTATTTTGCAGGTGTAAAATAAAAAACCTATGCCTATCCTCAAGAACCATTTTCTACAGTGACTGGCCACTTGGGCATTACAGCAAGAACTGAAATGATAAGAGAGGTGATGAGATGCTTTCTTTGGGACTCTCCAGGGCAGAGGAGAGGAAGAGCCTGGAGTTACGGCAGCAGTCTGCAGGTGAGGAACTCAAACAGGGGCAGTAATGGTGCATGACTTAAAAACCAAATTATACCAGAAAAAAAATCAGTGCAGGAATCTCAGACAAGTAGTCCTCAGCTCTTTCCACAGAGGAAAGAGCCGAAAGGTTTCATAGCACCAAGTAATGCCACACAGTGGTTCGGGGCTCAGTAAGGCATCCCAGCTCCCTTTAAAACTGCAGGAGGAACTCTGCTGGGATGTGGCCAGGCACCAAGGTCACTGTCCCTGACCTCTGCCCATAAAGAAAGAAACACAATGTCTCCCAATTGCGAGTAGTCAAGGGTGGGTTTGGGATAACACACTTGTGGCATGAAATCCCACACAGAACACGAAGGTCAAGAGGGAGATAAGCACCAAATAGGGGATCATAGATTCTATCGGCTGCAGTGCCTGGTGTCCCTTCAAAGGATGTAATAGGAAAGCCCTGCAGCTAGGACAGCTACTCCAGATTCCTCTTTCGCCTGACCAGACCCAGTATGGGGTCTGCTACCCTCTGTCACTACATCCTGTTGCGTCTCAACCATTCACAATCACCAGCTGGCATCTGGCAGGACACACCTAGGAAGAGGTGGGGAGCACTGGCTGCTACAGCCCAAGCCCAGAGTGATACAGACAAGCCGAGACCACGAGTGGAGAGTTTCTTGGTCATGGACACAGTTCTGCCTGCTACAAACCCCTCAATAAGCTAAGTCTGCTTCAGGCCGGATGAAGCAGCCCAGAGTGCTCCCCACTGCCCTTTGCAGGGCTGAGGAAGACCAGGGAAATGGGAGCATGTGTAGGGCAGCAGGACGCTCGCTGCTGAGCAACCTACTGACTTTATGGAGCAGCAGCTGCCATCGAGACCCCCAGGAACCACCTGCATGTATGACCATGTGCACTTTGATTCCAGCGTGAAAACTGAGCATGCAAAGAGAAGTGGTGGCTGCAGAATCTTCCCTCTCCTCACAACCTCCACTCCTCTCCCCTCCTCAGCAGGCTCCTTCCCATGCGTCACTGCCTCTGCACAGGCAAGCTGACACCTTGCTGGTCACCACAGCTGACCAGCTGCACAGTGGGGACAGTTCACAGAACGTTAGGAAAGTGTCAGGAAGAGCCCTGGCTGGTGTTTCTCCAGAGGAGCACTTCAGGACTCTTGCTTCTTGGGCTCCTGCAGGAAAGGCCACCTGATGCCAAAAAATGCCCAGCGAGAGCCCTGACCTCTGCTGCCAAGAAACACCACGGAACAAGCGGGAAACAGTTGGGTCCGGTCCTTTTGTGCAGTGCTGAGGCAGGGAGTTGGGGATAATTGCTGACCGCTGTTGGCAGGCACTCATTGCTGGTGGCTCATATATCCCTCCCAGTCCGAGGGAGGCAAGCAGACAACCACAGCCTTGGCCGACGAGCAGGTCAGGTTCCCCATATCTCCAACACTACCTGAGCTGAAGCTGGCTGAACCAGGCGCTGACAGCACAGTCCACACGCATCACCAGGGAGATCCCCAGCAGGAGGCAGATGCTGCTCACCATGAAGCCCAGTGACTCAAAGAGGAACCTGCAGACACAACAGACGCCGTAAGGAAATGGCAGTGGGCATGCCTGCAAAGACAGGCTGCTACCCTCACTGCCAGCAGACCCATTTTCCTGACAGTGAGAGGCTGGCAGTGCACCAGATCCTAAAACCTGAATTATATTCACTCCCCAACAGTTGCTGCCTGCAACCTGGACACCAAGCATGCCTCTGGTTTAGAAGCCATTCAAGGCAACACCCAAATGGGATTTTGAATTCCTCAAAGGCCGAGGCCACTCCACACTCCTACTTGCCCCAAATTTGCTAGTTTAGCACCATTTCTGGTCTCATATCCACGCCTTTGGCTCTCTCCCCTGCATATTTTCAGCTTCCAGGTTTGCTCTGTGTGTCACTGGAAATCAAGATAAGGATGGATTTCTAGGCTCTAGCTCAAATCCAGCTTTTAAATTTGAAACAGGAATTAGCTAAGGACAGTCCTACAGCCTCTGCTAGTTAAGAAGTCAGAAGAGCGATCATGAGGTCTCTTCCAACATCACTGTCTAAAATCTCTAGTCAAGATGCCAGCACCAGAGCAATTCCTGGGACTTACTTTGGGGCAAAGACCTTCCAGACCATGAGGTGCCTCCTGAGGATCATAGCTGCACAAACACAGGCCAGAAGCTGTGGGGGAGATCAGGAGAAACAAGTTACAAGCGACTCTGGAGAGACCTCCTGGGTAGTAGGTTCACACCTGAAGGCGGTATTAAACTGCACACACTTGAGAGGCTGGTACAGAACACACCAGAAAAAAGCATCCCGAAGAGGATTCCCCTCCACTGTGTTCTCAAGTCAGGAAATACAAGCAGCTGGGGCCAGGCTGGGCTCACACTGTGTCTAATGTGACCTAATATTTCACAGAGAGGGGCACTCCAACTCTCTTGCTGCAGGGCTGCCCCCTTCCTTGTACTGTCTCTGGTCTGACCAGAGAATGATGTGAAGGGTTAAACCCAAGAAAGCTATTTGCTTCTTTCATGGGATTAAACTTCTGGTGTTCAGCACCCTGTATCACCATAGCACAGGATCAGGTGAAAAACAAGAGCTGGTGCAAAATAGGTAGGCACCGACAAGAAGGGGGGGGGGCAGGATTATAACGACGCTGTTTGTTGCTACTCTGGGCAGATGGGTATGAAAACCAGCCTAATCTGCAGCTTCTGTGCTGGAGCCCTTCCCAAAGCACAGAGCAAATGGCACGGCTGAGATGAGGACCACTGCAGCTGCTCCTCCACTCACAAGCAGATGTATCACTCTGGGCCTGTCTGTGCCCTGACTGACCCCTTTCTCTCATGAGAGTGCCCCACGGTCATCACAGCAATCCATTTTCCCCTTGGACAGCCTTTTCCTCTGTCCATACCTGTGCCCCAAGGACAAAGAGGTACTTCAGCCCCAGCTGCAGCAGAGCAGTGGAGAACTTCTCTGGGGATTCCCGCAGTCTCATCTCCATCATGTGCTCCTCCACCTCCTGCAGCTCGTCCCGGGGCTCCTTCTTGGGCTTCTTCTTCTGCGAGCTGGGCATCTCACACACAAAGGGCCAAAGCAGGAGCAGAGGGCAGCCAACTACCTCAAGGACAAAGGCACATGAAGTTACTGGAGCCCATGAGGTGAGGAGCAGTCTAGGCTCTGCCATCATGCCCTGGATGTGCAGGAAGCACAGACCCCAGCTCCAGTTTGCTGGTCAGGCACAAATACATGGTGGCTGCAGGCCACGGGCAGCTCTGTGGCCCCAGAAGGGGACAGTCAGGATGCTGCTGTTCAGCTGGTGCCAGAGCCTTCATCGCCTCATGCTCAGCCTGCAGGCCTCCAGACAAGGCAAAGCAGTGAGCCAGGACTGCTCAGGCTCAACAGCCCGGGAAGAAATTGATTTACCTGCAAAGAGGATATGGGAGGCAAAGGTGTTGGCGCCCACCAGGACAGCAGGCAGGAGGTTCGTGCTGTGGTCAAGGTGGAAGCCCACAAAGGCTGCATTCCAGTGGATGGCTGGGAATATGGGCTGGTGGCCTGTGGAATAGAAGAACTGGGAAGCAGCAAGGAGCCAGGAGATGACCGCATACCAGGGCACAGAAAAAGGCTCTGGAAGATTAAAAAATAAAAACAAGAGGGAGAGAATGGGATATAAGCATTAGAGGAACAAGACAGATCCACAGTCAAAAAAAAGCCTGCTGACTTTTCTTTCAGGTTCCCTTTTCACACTCTCTCTTTCGAGATACAGAAACCAGTCAGGCTCCCTTTCCAGATACAGAGGGGCCAGGCATTCCCTCCGCTGCCTGCCACGCTACAGGACTCTCAGCAGTGGCTGCTTACACCCTGGGGAGAAAGGACGAGTGTACAGCCCTCTTCCTTGACACAAGGGACTCCTCCTCCTCCCACATTACATCCCTGCTGCATGCATCTCTCCTCTACTAGAGGACTTAAGCAGCTTCAAAATAGCCAGGAGGATCCTCAGGGGACTGGTGCACTGCTACTCCCCATGAACAGACTGGGCCCTGTTTCTCCCACTGCAAGTAAGACAAGGTCACTGCAGATATGGCCCTGGTCACAAACCCAGAGGATGCTTTACTGAGCCCCGATTCACCAGCGTCTCCAGCAAGGCCTCTGGCACAGGTGTGGATGTGCAGCAGCACGAAGGCCTCCAGGAAGAGGAGCAGGAAGGCAAGACTGAGCCGCTCGCTGTGCAGAAGTATCAAGAGGAAGCCCAGCAGGGTGAGCGCTATGACCAGGGCCGCCGAGTACACACTGCCCAGTCCGTACGCTGCGACGGTGGCCTTGCAGCTGTCTCGTTCCAGGCGGCTCTTCTGAGATTCCTGCATCCTCTTGTAGATCTGAGGGATGACGTGGAGTAAGTTGACTTCAGAGCTCGGAACCCCCAGGTAGGGAGTGACGATGGATCCTTCTGACTCCCGCTTGTCCTTTGCGAACACCGTCATGGGATTGCACAGCAGGAGCAGCAGCCCCATGGATGCTAGTCCATAGACAGCCCACGGAAAGGCAACAACTGCCACCTGCACCAGCTCCTGCAGCTTGCCGAGGGAGTCATCAGCGCTGGAGGCAACAGCCCAGTAGCAGGCAATGCAAAGGACCCCCATCGGGAACCCCCACCGCACAAAGAGCACAAGGGGGTCCGAGCTGTTCAGGTTGCCGTAGTGTCGCAGCCAGCTCCGCACTGCATAGACCAGCCCGGCCAGCAAGGCCACGCACAAAAGGTAGAAGAGGTTCTTGGCCCGTGCGTTCCTCAGGCTGGCAAGCGGGGAGAGGAAAAGAGAGGGTCGGCACTGAGGGATTTCTTCACGGCACTGGTGGAAGAAACCGGAGAGGCGCACGCAGACCAGAAGCATGGCCACGAGGCACAGCAGGTACCAGATCTCTCTCCGGTAAGAAGAAAAGCCGAGGAGCTGCTGCTTGGGGCCTTCTGGTACAGTCAGGCGACCATCCCAGT